GATCCTATTCAACGTGTCCTGTCCTAATGATGGTCGGGAAAGAGCAGTTGCAACCTTACGCAAATAAGGTACAAAGCACACCTGATTAGCGAAGTGCTCCCAACGAGGATGTTTCTTCAGCAGGGAGGCTCCCGGTTGCTCGAGTACAAAGTAGCAGTGTTTGGCCATGATCAACATGCAAAGCAACACAATCCTTATGCAAAAAAGAAGTTGCTCACAATAGTGGCAAGGAGCATACACACTCACTAATGCACACTAGGAGTCCGAGATATGGTTTGATTTCCATCCTTCACAAATGCCAGATGGAGGGCCCCCCATATGTTTACATAGGATCTCATGGACGTGGATCTTGCCGGCAACCCCCACGATCCACACTCTGGCCCCATTAAAGAGACTGATTCAGGATATTGACAAAGGATGGTCCACACAACCAACCTGAGCTGACATGATGCTGACGTGACATACATGAGACCTGTATAATACATGTCCCATGTTCCAGCATATGTCAGCCTTGCAAACGCAACCCTGGAACGCAAAGCCTGGGGCCGACAGAAAATCCATTGTTTTTGATCCAGGGCAGTACATATTGTCAATGGTGGCACAGCTGTAGCCCTCCGCAGTCCTGAGTGGATAGTGATCAAAACCCGGCCCTTGAGAACAACAACATTCTCTCATGTCATGCAAAGTTGTTTCAAACAAGAAACCATTCTTTGCTGGCAGCCGCTTGGCCAGCAAACAAGTCCAAAAACTGAAAACGGGGCTGAACTGGAGGGAGGTTTGTGGACCACATCACCAGCAAGGTGATCCCAATAAAGACCTAAGTGGGGCCAGAAAACCAACACAGCCTGGGCCCCATGAAATGGATTGAGTGTCCCACCTTTGGTGCATTGAGCTGCCGCAAGTTGAGCACTATCGATTCACAATCCATTGCCAGTCCCAGGGAGGCAGCTAAGAGCAAACAAAACAGCTAAGGGTATCAGCGGAATTGTGCAAAAACATTCCCTTGCAAATTCCTGCCATTCATGAGTGAGGCCACTCGATCCACGCCTTCTGCACTGAGCGCTCGAATGGCCCAAGTCTCAGAAATGGGCATGGTGACCTCCAAGAAGGAAGCACGTTCAGAAAAGAATTAAACATTGATCAATCAGCTGGTGTGTGCATGTGTTTCTCAATTGTATCGATCGTAATGTTTTTTGTAAACAAAGTGCCGTGCAACGATCAACAATTGATATGTTTTTTTTGAGACCCCTTTGCCTTCACGTGCTTCATGGCCTACAGACACGAAGGCTACTGTGCACTCCATGCCTTTGGCATCCACGTGAAACCCCCACAAACCCATGGCTAGCATTTCAGATAGCCAGTCACATCCACAAGGTCCCACCAGGAACCGTGCACATAGATCTAGGTGGCCGCTGCATAGGCCTGAGCCCAATTCTGTATGTAACAAACTAAGGGGCCATGCATCCATGTGCACATATCAACCACCTTTGTCATGTGACCATGATCGAAACATATAATTAAGCTGGGCAACCGCTCGTCCAATCTTCTTCGCTTCATCCTCACTGTGCCCATTCTCCAGTGCCTCCTTCCTGGCTGCAACATAGGCCGAAGACTTTCGACTTCTCTCTGCATTCTTCTCCTTCTTCTTCTTCTCCTCCTCCTCAGTCATTTTGGCCCGTTTGCCATTGGTTGCCTTTGTCTCAATCTTCTCATTCTGATCTTTCACTTTCTTTCCCTTTGGCTCCCGTTTGCAAGCCTGTGCTGAATCCTGCTTCAAGTCGCTACCATGTTCATGGGTCTCATCACCCTGCTTCTGATTCTTCTTTGCCCTTTTCCGCACAGGCTTTGGCTCCTCCTCCTCCTCCTTCTTGACCATCGTCTTCCTTGCCTTCACTGCCTTTTCATCAGCCTCACCACCACGTTTCTTTCGAGCTTTCTCTCCATCATCCTGCTTCTTTGAATTGCTCTTGGGCTTGGTTGACTTCTGCTTGGGCTCCACAGAGGTCCTTCGGGGCTTGCGCTGCGCCGATCTTGGAGCCTTCTTTGCAGATTTCTTTGGGCTACATTCTTCCTCTTCGATGTTCGCCTCTTCCTCATCCTCTGTATAGTGCTGAGTCTCACTGTCAGACTCATCATCCTTTTTCTTCCCACGTCCTCCACCACGCCCATTCCCACGTCCTTTGCCACGCCCTTTTCCGCCTCCTCGTCCAGATCCTTTTGCTGAAGCTTTCTGGCTTTTCTTTTGATCTTGTGGGGTCACAGTTGGAAGACCATTCAGAATTGCTGGCTTGGGGTCTTCTGGCAAGACTTCTTCTTTCTTCTGCGTTGCCTTAACTGCTGTGCTGTCCTTCTTGGAGTCGAGAAGAGCCTTCAAAGCCTTCTGAGAGTCATTCTCACACTCTGCCAAAGCAGCCTCTGCTTCATCTTTGCTAAAGCCCATTCCCATGAACTCCCGCAGAACTGCTGGAGTCGCTGGAGTTGAAGGTCGAGAAGCACTAGGCTCAGCAATCTTTGGATTTGGCTCTGGCTGAGGTATCTTTGCCTCTTCTTTTGGTGGCTCCACTTTGGGAGCAGCTTCTTTTGCGTCAATGCCAGCATCAGCTGGGCTCACACCACCAAGCTGCAATGTCACCTCTCCACCTTTCATATCAGCGAACCGCTTTGGGGTACCAGGATCTGGAACCTGACTTTCTGCAAAGGCAGCCCCGCCATCCAGCACTCCATCATAGGGGACAGTGTCAAAGCCATCCAGGCCTTGGTGCAACGGTACTTATATTTGAGCACTAGCTAGAGCTGACTCAAGATGTGTGCCTGTGCAATTAAAGAAAACTGACATGGAGCCAAGCTACAATTCGAAGGGGCTGCAGAGCTAGAAGCTGGAATGGTCGAGTTCAAGTGCGAAGCCAAATCAGACAAAGATTTGGCCTTCTGCTCTAGCTGTTCGTTCTGCACCTCAAGCTGTTGTTGAATCAAAAGCTCCTCTAAGAGTTCCTGTTCAAGCTGTAGCCTCTCAAGTTCTTCCTCCATGACAGTAGTCTCAGGGACATGCTCCACCAAGAGCGGGAACTCCTGTTCTTGAGGGATCTCTGAAAATGAGATTGCAGTCGGTGAGATGCTGGCTCTGATTCGCTTTCCCCCCCTGACAAACAAGTTGCCAGACTGCATCAGGCTCCTTCCGGCAAATCTTCCCAATCTCTTCCACCCAGCAAGTAGAGAAGGACACCACCATCTCTGAAGCAACAAAACTGGTCTCAAGTTTCTTCACTTCCTCACCCACACTCTTGCGGCAAGGGACACCTTTAATAGAGTCAAGGTTGCCAGACCGTAGCCCACATGAAGCACATTCCCACAAGTCATTGTTATGGGAGATGTTGTGGTGGTAGGCCTTCTCAGTACTTGGCAGCTCCAAGGAGTGTCCTTACAAGGATGGCCAAACATGAATGTCAATTTAAGTGATACTGAACAATATTCAGCATATTTGCAAACAAAGGGTCCCCTGGGGGGAAGGATGTGGGGTTGCTGTCACCGATGATGGACCAGACGGAGCGCCAGCCTTGTCCTCAATTGAGGTGATATGGAGTTGACCGAGCTTGTCAGCAGCTTCATTCACAGCATCTTCACCTGTGGCTGGGTTTGCACAGGGAACTAGGAAAACAGACATAGGACAATAGAAGGGGCATGAAGGGAGTGTTCTCGACAAATGGAGTGCCAACATCAAACCCTCATTCCAGGATGAAACGTGTTTGAAGTTTTGGGATCCAAGTCCCAAACAGCTTTCAATTCCATGTTGAGCCCTCCACCCCCCACACACACACCCAAGAAGATTTCTTGCCCGCCTGATGAAGGTTTGAGTGCTTCAGGTTCCACCTCTTCATCCTAGGCATTTCAATCCAAGAGGGATAAGTACCGGGCATGGGCATTGGGCATGGCTACTTACTTTGCACTTGTCAACATTGAACATCCAGCCAGGGTACTGTTTGTACATCACTGCTTTCTTCACCCTCCGCATCATCTTCAGAGTCTGAAGGCTCTCTCGAACCTCAACTGTTCCCATCAAAAAGGTTGCTGGGGGAGAGGGCGCACGCACACACACAAACACACCGAAATCATAAGCCTTAAATGCTGTGTAGTCACGTGGGTCAGCTGGCAACGGGATACCAGCCTGCTGATAGATTTCACGCATGCCGGGTTCTCTGGGGTAGTGTCCACGCTTGGCAGCACGATTGAAGATCGTCACTAGCCGCTTGATCTTCCACGCTTCCAAACGGACTTTGCTACCTAGGCCAAATTCAACCAGGCAAGTCCTTTGTACATCAGCTCCCTAACCCCCTACCCCCCCAAAAAAGACCAGCATTTATTGATCAAGTTGAGGAACCAGAAACATGGGGCTTCCCACGTGGCCGGGCAAAGGTCAAGAACATCTCCACTTGTTCATGGATACCATCAATCGTGACACGTGTTCCAAGATGTTCCAAAAGGGGCCCAATCACATCAGAATTGGTCACCACATCTGCGCGCTCGATGTATTGCTTTGGTAGTGCAACCAGACTTCCCTGACTTCCCCGATTCATCAGCACATCAGATTTTGACCATTCCTCCACCACCGGCGAAGACAGAGGCATGGCGTACAAGAGGCACTTCCTTTTCAGGAAACCCTGATCCATAAGCTTGGTCCACCACCTAGAGTCCTACAGGCCAAATGCCTGCAGAATTACAGAGGTCAAGGTTTTGAAACGACTGTAAATGTCTTGCAGAGCACCTTCCCCAGACCGTGCCTAAAAGAAAATTCCTGACATGGCCATCATTCTGTACCTGCCCAGCCAAGCCAAGGCAAGCAGATCTTGGCCCGCACACACAAAACATGCACTGGCCCTCTTGGACTGCAGACTTCCCAGGGCGCACGTGGCCAGGCACCAATATCCCTGACCCATAAAGCCAAATGGCTGTTCAGATGGCTCAAAACCATCTCAAAACATCTCAAAACCAAAAAGTGCTCGAATTAAGAAAAACTGCTCGAGACGTGGATTTGCGGCACCAATCAGAGTTTTGGTAGCGATTCATGCATTTTGGTATCGAAAGGCTGGGGGGGGCAGGAATTTACATAGCGTTAGAAGGCCCTGG